AATTCTCCAGCCAGCTCTGCAGAGCTGGCTGGAGAATTCTGGGAGTTGAAGTCCACAAGTCTTAAAGTTGCCAAGTTTGGGAACCACTGCTCTACCGTATGCCTCTCACTTACCTGAGGGGAAGCCAGTTTGGACCAGTCGGGTTTGAGATAGTAAATTATCCCATCCTGAGCTCCAGGCAGCATCACCCCTCGAATCAACAATATAATGAGCACCACGTAAGGGAATGTAGCAGTGAAGTAGACAATCTATGTTGCAGGGGGGAGAGGGAGAAAAGAGAGCAGGAATTAAGCTTTTTATGGAAAATGGTTCGTTTTGTTGCTTTCTATTCAGTTTAGAAGACCAAAGTAAGAGCCAATCTGTCGACTCACTAACACGTTCCCCCCCCAAAAAAGTGTAAAATCAACTTTTTAATAATGTTTACTTTACTCTAATATTTACTTCCCTTACAAACCACACTGCTCTCAAAAGAGCTTGCATAAAATGTTAAACTGAATTAAATAACAGCAATCGCAAATCGAATTATCGACTGAAAACATTAATTTAAAACCGGTAGAAGCCAAAATTGTTTTTGCAGCCCAGCCCAGCAATTAAGCACACGCAGGCGGCAATACAAACACTTTCAACCTTCTTAAAAACAAGCAGGGAGGAAGCCTCGTCAATTTCCCTGGTGGATTTTTTTAGTAGTAGCCTCTTCAGCTGAAAACTGGCCACGTGCCTGCACCTTTGCTGTGTGTGTGTGTGCTTGTCATGCCACCGTTAAACAAAACTCCCTCTTGCTTATGCCAGGAAATGCTTCGTGTCCCTGCCTGCTATCCCTGTAAAAGATACAAGGCCAGGAAAAAGAATCCGGAGGATCAGTTTTTCAAGAAACCATGTGACAAATAGCACGTTCTCTGCAAAGCAAGATCTTCCTTTCACTTTTAAATTTTTGTTTTTGCACGCATAGGTAAAAGTAAAGGTTCCCCTTGCACATATGGGCTAGTCGTTCCCGACTCTAGGGGGCTGTTTTCAAAGCCGAAGAGGCAGCACTGTCCAAAGATGTCTCCGTGGTCATGTGGCCGGCATGACTCAATGCCAAAGGCGCACGGAGCACTGTTACCTTATTATCGTGGTCCCTATTTTTCTACTTCCATTTTTACATGCTTTTGAACTGCTAGGTTGGCAAAAAGCTGAGACAAGTAACGGGTGCTCACTCCATTACGCAGCACTAGGGATTCGAACTGCTGACCTTTCTGATCGACAATCTCAGCGTCTTAGCCACTAAGCCACCACGTCCCTATGGAGGCATAGGAGGGGGTTAATGGGCCATTACTTTAGTGTGGGAAGCCTTGGGCTGCTTTAAAGCTTATTACAGAATTCTCCTTGAAGAAACATCTGACCTGCTCCTTGGACAATTGCCATAGATTTTCTCACACTAGAGTGCACCCCAAGGGAGCATTCAGTGTGTTCTAAGGTATGTGCTTCTCCTTTTAGCTAAGCAAACTTCCTGGCAAATACCTTCTGGGAACTGTGTGTCCTGTGCTTATAAGTCTCCCCCTCCCAATTCCTTTGAATACATTTTTGTGTAAAATATGTTCTAAGATGTAGAAAATTTTGGAATATCTCCCCTCTTTGCTACTTTAGAAAAAAAATAGTGACTATTGGGAAGGAAAATTGCATAGAATTAGCACAAAGTTTGGGAACCAGCTTGGTTTCTACATCAAGCGCCACTATT